TTTGCTGTTATTACTGCTCTATTTAAAGGGCCAAGTAGCTTGAATAAAATCATTGAGTTTTTCCTCAGTAAAGTAGAGTTTTTAATTCTCTTCATTTGGTATCAGAGCCCCATCGTAAGGGGCCTGTTTGAGTGAGGAAATCAGAGGTTGTTGAGAAAACAGGAAGGAAGGTGGTCCAATGGCGGCGGAGAACAACGGTGGCAAAGGATTTGTGGTACCAGCCATACCAAAATTCGAAGGGTACTATGATCATTGGGCTAAGCTGATGGAGAATTTTATTCGATCAAGAGAGTATTGGGATCTCATAGAGATTGGGATCAACTATCCTGGTGAAGGAAGAGTGCCTACGGAGGAACAACAAAAGATGTTAAATGAGCAGATTCTGAAGGACTTGAAGCTGAAAAACTTTTTGTATCAGGCTATTGATAGAGACATCCTAGATACCATCCTTAATACTGATACAAGTAAGCAGATTTGGGACAGCATGAAGCAAAAGTTCCAGGGGTCAACCAGAGTGAAACGAGCTCAACTACAAGCTCTACGCAAGGATTTCGAGACACTAAATATGAAAGAAGGGGAGTCGGTTAACACCTATTTTGCAAGAACCCTTGCAATAGCAAAGAAAATGAAGGCATGCGGAGAAGTCGTTCAAGAGAAACTAATCACGGAGAAGATACTAAGGTCAATGACTCGTAAATTCAATTATGTGGTGTGTTCGATAGAAGAATCAAATAATTTGGATACACTTACCTTGGATGAGCTGCAGAACAGTCTTTTAGTCCATGAACAGAGGATGAAGGTCAATGTTGAGGAAGAACAAGTCTTGAAGGTGACAGAAGAAGAAAGAGGCACGGGAACAGCCATGAGAACCAGGGGTCGAGGAAGTTATCGAGGAAGCTTCCGAGGTGGTCGAGGTCGTGGAAGATTCACTAATGGCAGAGCTACGATCGAGTGTTTCAAATGTCACAAGCTAGGACATTATCAGAGTGAATGTCCTAGTTGGGAGAAGAATGTCAATTACGCCGAGTTTGATGAAACGGAAGAGCTTCTGCTTATGGCCAACGCTGAAAAGGAAGCCATGCGGGAGAAAGAGGTATGGTTTTTAGACTCCGGTTGCTCTAACCATATGACAGGTAACAAGAGGTGGTTCACGAATTTTGACAATCGATTCAAGAACTTTGTAAAGTTGGGGAATGGCACAAGGATGCAGGTGCAAGGGAAAGGAAATATAAAGCTTTCGGTTCAAGGTAGAACCCACATCATCACTGAAGTCTATTATGTACCAGAGCTGACCACAAACTTACTCAGTATGGGGCAGTTCCAAGAGAAAGGGCTGACGATGCTAATCAAGGATGGAAGATGTAAGATTTACCATGAAGATTGTGGTCTCATAATGAATCTACACATTTCATCAAACCGGATGTTTATTGTGCCGACTGAAAATTTACCAGCTGAATGTCTACA